GAAGAGGTAGAGGAGGAGATAAAGGAGCCAGAGGAGAAGAAGCAAGAGGAGGAGGCAGAGGAGAGGACGAGGAAGCGGAGGAGGAGAAAGAGGAGAAGGAAGAGGAAGAAAAGGATGAAGATAGAAAAGGAAGGAAGAGGATGAGGTAGAGAAGAAGAAAGGAACAAGAGGAAAGACAGAGAAACAGGAAGAAAAGAAGAGGAGGAGAAGGAAGAGGTGAAGACGGAGAAGAAGAAAGATTTATAATTTTTTCTTTGAACTAAAATGTGATATGTTAATGAGTTCTATGCTGAATAGAAGTCAGTACTGTAATGTTATACAGACTAAACCCTTTTCACAGGAAGAGCCATTTCAGAGCCAGAGCTATTATATGTGCTCTTCCAAGAGGCCTAGAACCCAGGGATTAGTCCCTGAGAAGGGACTTCAGGAAATTTGGGGCCAAGTGGTTCCAAATCCAAAAAGTATTGCTGGTTTCCCTGAAATACCATATCCCAAAGAATATAGAAATTCCATTCCACATGAAAGGGATTCTTTGGTTTATCTTTGCAAATTTTATGTAATATTTCAAAATAAAAGGCTTTAAAAAAACACCTGTTTTCTCTAAGAAATCCATGAACTTGGAATCAAACTACAACAATGAATAATGAAAATATCCAAATCTTCACCTGATTTTATTTCTGCTCCGGTAGTACCACTTTCTCCTAGGGAAGTTGTGGTCTCTTAAAGATGGAGAAAAACCAAAATTATTTCAATACGAAGGAAGAGGGATGAGTAAGCTGACTAGACTACATGAAACAAAATACAATTCAAAATCTCTTATCACCTACTAGTCAGAACAGAAGCCCTTCCCCATGTAAAAGTGTTTATCTTCAATACGCAAATTTAATTGTCCATTTTTAACTCATGGATCTTCTTCTGACCTTAGATAGTTGCAAAGATAATAAGATATGTAAAAGTCATATACAATATGTATATATCAAGGAAATCATAGATGATCGATGTGCTCATTACTATTATCATCATTATTTATTGCTTTAAGTATTAGACTTTTCATGAGTAAAAATTTTGCCAGTGACTACCATGTTAGAACATGGAATTAGAAATAGAAATCAATATCTCAGTTCTTTACCCATAATAAGAAAGAGAATGGCCTTGGATGGGATAAGAAAACAATGCATTTCCTCAATGTGTCAACAAGCGGTGTTCAAAGGTTTGTTGAAACAGGAGTTAATCTATATCTTTGTATCTCATGGAATATTTAATGACTAAAATATCAATAACTCAATTACTTATTTAAATATCAATCAGAGAAACAAAAAAAACATTTATCTTTGATCTCCTAACTGATTCTCAGTGCCTTGGCTTCACAGTGAAGTCTCCCTGAAGCAGAGGAAAGGAAGGTTAAAAAATTTGAGTGTCTGGCCTTTAATTATTAGGGAAAATCCTGCCTGTGTGACAATCTTTCTTCAGAAAATGCTCTTCACAGGGAGTACAAACAGTAGATGCAATTCAGGCAATGCTGTCTACTGGGAGGCAGGTAGTGGTTCCTCAGTGCTTACCTGAGGTGGGTTCAGCCCCCGTCATTCTACTTGCTCCAGAAGATGTTGTGGCTACTGAGAGAGGAAGGACATAAATGGAAAAGATTCAGGGACTTGAAATGGAAACATGGCACTTCTGCATAAAAGCACCAAAAGGAAAGGCATACTATCATAGCAAGCACCCATGAAATGATTCCCCACCACACTGTGGACTCACCTGTATGGAAACTTCCAGGAGCAACTGTTGTGGCAGGAGACACCCAAGAGGTGCCTGAAACAGAGAGAGACTGAGGTGATCATGGTGAATGAGTAAATCAAACGAAGAACTGGCTCTAAAAGGAATATGCTCTATGTATATATATATTTATTTATTTATATGCCACCATAGAAAGCTCTCTCTGAGCTCAAGGCAGATGGTGAGCTATATGTATCTGCCTGCTTGCAACAATTCAAACCAAAGCACATAGAAAATGTTTCCAACATCAGGCACACCTGGAAATTTGATAAAGTAAAACTAGATGCATTTCCCCAATGCTCACCTGCTTGTTTCCCTGGGGCTGAAGTGATGCCTGCTGTGAGGTAGAAAGAGGAGGGAAAAAAGGTTTAAATGTATTGAAACTTGAGATGTAGGAGAAAATACTGAGCTATCATTTTTGTTCACATATACACTTGTAAATGCATGTGTCCTGGGTCCATGGGGCTCTTTTCTGTTTCACATACACACAGAAAACTTTCTGAATTCCACCTAAACTGCTAGCAATAGTTGTAACACAAATGGAGAAATTCCATTCCATTCTCAGAAATGGAGCAGTAATGCTCCATTTTAGAATTAGTAGATTTACAAAAAATGTATCTCCACCAGCAAATCTATTTTGAATCACTTGCAATGTCTCTAAATAAAACAAACACAAATTCTCTCAGGACAAGCTTGAGAGACCTAATACTTATGACAGCAAATCATGGGTTGTCTCTTCTCACCAGTTTTGAATCCAGCTCCAGAAGAACCTGTCCCTTCTACGGAAGTGGTGGCCTCTGATGGAAGAAATAGGAGAATGAAAAATGCTGGAAATTTTAAATACTGGAAGAAGATATTGGGGTATTACTTTATCATAGAAGCCATAAAAGAAAAATGACACCTGATATTAAATAAGAAGCATTTATTTCTTGTTAAGCTACCTATGTTAGAACTTCTAGATATAATGGTCATTCCAGGCAATTCTCTGGAAAAAACTAAAATACCAAAAAAAAAAAAAAAAGAGAGAGAGAAAGGAATGAAGCAATAGAGCATTTTGTCTCCAATTAGGCTTGGAAGCATCAATGTATCCCTGAAGCACTAGCATCTGTTTCCTGTGCCCACTTTATTTCTATAGAGAATGGAAAATGAACACCTAGACATGCATAGGTTGATGCTGGGATTCCCTTCCACTATGAGGCAAGGGGAGAACAGGGCTTTAAATCACCTTGACCTGTTTCCTTTCCAGGAACATAGTCCTCTCGTGTAGCAGAGGTAACTACAGGAAACATTATATTTATAAGTAAGACTGTCTGATACAACTTGGGATATTTTAATAATCAATTGCCTTCATGAAGCTTTCTAATAAGAGGAGAGAGGAAATAAACATTCTGTGTAAGTATATGAGAAAAATGATAAAAAGTATCAAACTGTCAGTGGAAAGGCTGAGTAAGGGGAATAGGAAGTCCTGGAACATTGGAATATATGAAATATTTTCTAATACCTTTAATTAGAAAAAATAACGTCTCCATAAGCTAGAATAGTGCAGACAGCTTGGCTGACAATCCAAGTAATGAAATTTACAAGTCCAATAACTGACCAGGTTGATAGGACACAGTACGGCCACGGAGAAAATGCCGTCCCTTCCTTCAAATGCTTTCACATTATTTGTTCCCTGTAGCCACCCATATAGAGAAATGATGAGAGCCCCAGGTCTCAGCCTGACAAGCTCACCTCCGGGTAGTCCTGCTTGAGGGGTCCCGCTGCCTCCAGAGAAAGTTCTGGCCTCTGAGAGAGAAAAGAATTAGAGGTATGAAGACTGTACAGGACATTCTAGGGCCCCATAATCTATATTAGCCAAGGGGCCACATTCAGAATGTCTGATGTGTATGGTCACTTCCATCTTTTGGAGTTCTGCCAGAGATTCCCTGAGTAGCAAAGAGGAAAGAATCATGGATATTTGGTCAACCCGTTGCCCCTTATGATACAAGCATAGACTCTTAAAGAAAAAAAATGTATATTTTTTTTCTTCAATAAAACAGAAAATTTATTTCTCTGCAGTTTCTATTTTTAAGAGTAAATCCATATATTATTCATAGAACCTATAATTCCCTCAGCAAGTTTACAGAGAAGGTCCTCTGCCACCCTGTTTCATTTTTAAGGTTTGGGTAGAGAAAGATAGATTTGGGCCCAAGTCCCCTATATAGCTGTCAGGGAATGGACCCCATGATACCCTAATGAAGGGATTGATTTTAGAGCCAAAAGAAAAAAGAAGAAAATGTTGACATTTCTGACCTATATTTATTGATGTTAAAATTTGAACATCTGCTACATTTTTGCCTAATATGCCAAAAATTCAAAAACTTTTGTCATATTTCTAGCAAGATGTGGGAAATTATAACAAAGTACACTTAGTTCCTTAACTAGGCTCACCTGTGATTATTTCCGTTCTTGTTATTCCACCTTCTCTCAAAGAAGTTGTGGCCTCTGCAAAAGAGGGAAAAAGAACAGCAGTGAGGGAAAAGATTAGAAGAATCTGAGAAAAGCATGGTAGGATCACCCAGGCAGACACCCCATTGAGAAGCCCTTCCAAGCAGTGGTTCCTACCAGCCTGGTGCTTTACCTGACTTGGAGCTCCCAGGGGCAACTGTTGTAGCAGAGGGCACTCCAGCTGTGCCTAGGCAGGAAAGAAAAGAGAAGGATTGAGATGGGAACTCTTTTGTGACCCTTGGAAAAATGTGGCCAACAGTATGTCTATTTGTGACTTTGAAGCCAGAAAGCACACTTCCTGGCTTATAACTGACACGAAGACAAACACGTTTCAGGTTTATTGTGTGCCTTTGCAAAGCCAAGGTTAATGCAGTGGCTAATATTCCTACCCTAATTATTATGAACAATATTTGGTCACAGTGGAAGGTCATATGAAAGGCCTTCCCCAAGTTTACCTGTCCTACTTTCTGGTGCTGTAGTGGTGGTTCCTAATGAAAAGCAAAAGAGAGAAGGAGAAGAAAGAAGAGGAGAAAACAAGAAAAAATAAGAAGAAAGACAAGTTTGAATTTTTATCTCTAAACTAAAATATGACTTTTTGGTGATTTCTAATGTTCTACAGACTATGCCCTTTTCAAAGGAAAATCCTTTTCAAAGCCAGAGCTATTATTGCAAGACTCCTCTCTAGAGACTTAGGACCCTGATGTTAGTCTCTCAGAAAGGAAAGACTTTAGAAATTTTGGGCTCAAGAGTTTACAAATCCAAATCCATGAGCAAACTCTGTTTCCTTGATATATTATAGCCTCAAAGGAAATTTAAACCCACACTCCACATTGAAGGAATTCTCTGCATTATCTATGATAATTTTCTGTAATTTAAATTTATTTCCAAATTAAAAGCTCATTAGAAATAATCCTCTAAGAAATCTAGCAAAATACAACAATAAATATAAATACCCTAAAGTCTTTAGTCTTTACCTGATTTTATTTCTGCTGCAGTGATGCCACTTCCTCCCAGGGAAGCTGTGGTCTCTTAAAGATGAAAAGAAAACCAAAATTAACTGAGTACTAAGAAAAATGGATGAGGTAAGTTTATGTCATTACATGAGATAACTCCAATTAAAAATGTCTTGATACTATTAAGTCAGAAAATAAGTACTTCTGACTTTAAAAGTAATGAAAACCATAAATACACAAGTTTAATTGTTAAAATCAGGAGACACCACATTTGTAAATTTATTTTCTTAATTGGACCTTAGATATTTCCCTTTTTTTTTGTTTCTTCTTTCTTTTTTTATTTTTGGACCTTAGACATTTCTTAATTGGAATAAGACATGTAAATCTCTGATTAAAATAGTGGATACAGTGAGGAACTCACAAATGATCAACATGGTCATTACTATTATTATCAGTATTTATTGCTTTAAGTATTAGGCTTTGCATATGTAACAATTTTGCCAGTTGGAACTTGGAATCAGAGAGGTGTAGGAATCAATATTTTTATTCTTTACACATAATGAAAAGAAAATAGCCTTTGGTGGGATAAGATTAATCTGTGTTGTCTTAATGTGTCAAAAAGCACTTTTCAGTGCTTTCTAGAATGAGAAGTTAATCTGTATGTTATTCATGCACCATTTCTATAGATTAGCTAATGAGAAAAATTTTAATAGCTATTATTTCCTTTATATATCACTGAGGGAAAGAACGACATTTCTCTCCAATCACACAACTGATTCTCAGTGCCTTAGCTCCACGATGAAGTCTTCTTGAAGCAAAGGTAAGGAAAATAAAGGCATTTGAGTGCCCAATCTTTACACATTAGGTAAAATATTGCCTATTTGGATTTTTTTTAAAAATGTCCTTCACTGGAAGTACAAAGAGTAGATGTGATTGAGGCAACGTGACCTACTGGGAAGGAGGTAGTTCTTACTTGTAGTTGTTGTAACCCCAGTTATTCCACTTGCTCCAGGAGACGCTGTGGCTGCTGGGAGAAGGACACAAATGGAAAAGGTTCAGGGGATATGAAATGGAATGGTGGCATTCCTGCATAGAAGCACCAAAAGGAAAGGCATGTTACTGCAGCGAGCACCCATGAAAGGACTCCCCACCACACAGTGGACTCACCTGTGCTGAAACTTCCAGGGGCAACTGTTGTGGCAAGAGCTACTGCAGAGGTTCCTGAAAACAAAGAGACTAAGATGGTCATAGTGAATGAGTAAGTCAAAGGAAGACCCAAATCTAAAAGGGATGTGCTGTATTTATGTATTAAATTGCCATAACAGAATCCTCTTTCTCTGAGCCTGAGGCAGGTGGAAAACTCAATGTATTTGCCTGCTTTCAACAATTCATAACAAAAAGATACAGAGAGACAAGTTTCCAAGTACAAGCACAACTGAAAATTTGATAAAAGTGAAACTAGATGCATTTTCCCAAGGCTCACCTGCTTGCTTCCCTGTTGCTGCAGTGATGCCTGCTGTGAGATAGAAAAAGGAGGAAAAATGGTTGAAATACTTTGAAATTTCACATATAGAGAAAGTATTGAACCAGCATGTTCGTTCACATATACACTTTAAATGTATGTGTACTGGTTCCATGGGGCTCTTTTCTGTTTCACATAAAAGCACTGAAAATTTTCTGAATGCCACCTAAACTGCTAGTGACAGTTGTAACATAAATGGAGAAATTACATTCCATCCTCAGAAATGAAGCAGTAATGATCCATTTAAGAATTAGTGAATTTAAAAAAAATACATATATATACCTCAACCAGCAAATCCATTTTGAATCACGTGCAATGTAGCTTAATAAAACAAACACAAACTCTCTCAAGAAAAGCTTGAGAGACCTAACACTTATGATGCCAAATCATGGACTGTTTCTTCTCACCGATTTTGAATCCAGTTCCAGAAGTGCCCGTCTCTTCTGTGGAAGTGGTGGCCTCTGATGGAAGAAAGAGGAGAATGAAAAAAGCTGGGAATTTAGAATACTGGAAGAAGATATTGGGGTTTTACCTTATCAAAGAAGCCCTTTAAAAAATCATGGTATCTGACATTAAATAAGAGGCATTTCTTGTTAAGCTACCTGTGTTAGAACTTCCAGATATAATGGTCATTCCAGACAATTCTCCAATGGTAACTAAAATGTAAAAAAAAGAAAAAAAAAAAGAAATAAACCAATAGAGCATTTTATTTCCAATTAAGTCTGAAGGCATCAATGTAGCCCTAAACACTGGAAGACCTCTCCTCTAGACACTCTATTTCTACTGAGAGTGGAAAACGAACAACTTCCTAGCACTTCATTTTCCAGGCTAACATGGGATGGATGTGTTGTTGCTGAGATTACTTTTCACTATGAGGCAAGAAAAAATAGGGCTTAAATCAACCCGACCTGTTTCCCTCCCAGGAATATATCTCCCTAGTGAGACAGAGGTGCCTACAAGCGGAAAAAAAATCACTGTTTTCTACTTATAAAGTAGGATTGTTTGAGTCAATCATTTGTTTTCATGAAGCTTTCCAGTGAAGGGAGAGAGGAAGTAAACACCATGTAAAAATGTTCAAAAGTATCAAGCTATGAGTGGAAAGGTAACCTGGGTAAGGAGAATAGGAAGTCCTGGAAGGTTAAAATATATGAAATATTTTTTAATATCTTTTACCAGAAAAAGATAATGTCTCCACAAGCTAGAATGGTGCACACAGCCTGGCTGACAATACAAGGTGATGAAATTCAAGAGCAAAATAACTGGCCAGGTTGACAGGACACAATATGATCAAGGAGAAAATGCAGGCCCTTCCTTCAAATGCCTTCACTATTTGTTCCCTGTAGCCACCTAATAGGGAGATGATGAGAGCCTCAGGCCTGAGCGTGACAAGCTCACCTCCAGGTGGTCCTGCTGGGGTGGTCCCACTGCCTCCTGGGAAAGTTGTGGCCTCTGAGAGAGAAAGGAATTGGAGGTATGAAGACTGCTCTGGACATTCTGGGACCCCATAAGCTGTATTGCCCAAAGGGCCCCGTTCAGAATGCCTGACCTGTGTGGGCACTTTTAGCTTCCAGAGTTCTGCCAGAGATGCCCTGAGTAGTACCTGAAAAAAGAAAGGATTGTGGTCAGATGGTCAAATTGTTGCTCCTCATGATATGGGCATAGGCTCTTAAGGAAAAAAAAAAACAAATTTTTTTCTTTAATATAACAGAAAATTTATTCCTCTGGAGTTTCTATTTTTAAGAGTTAATCCATGTATTTCCCACAGAATATATAATTCCCTTGGCAAGTTTGCAGAGAAAGTCCTCTACCACTATGTTTCATTTTTAGAATTTAGGTACAGAAAGATTTGGGCCAAAGTCACCTATGTAAATGTCAGGGAATTGGCCCCTTGATGCCCTGATAAAGGGTTCTGAAACCCAAGGCAAAAGACATAGTGGGAAATGTTGAAGCATCTGATCTATATTTATTGATATTAAATATTGAACATCTGCTACATTTTTGCCTAATACGCCAGATTGGGAAAATTCAAAAATTTTGCCATATTTCAAGCAAGACGTGGGAAATTACAACAAAGTATGATTAGCTCCTTAACTAATCTCACCTGTGATTATTTCAGCTCTTGTTATTCCACTTTCTCTCACAGAAGTTGTGGCTTCTGCAAAACAAGGGCAAAGAATACCAGTGAGGGCAAAGCTTTGAAAACCATGGTAGGATCACCCAGGCAGACACCTCATTGAGGAGCCCTTTCCAAACAGTGGTTCCTCCCAACCTGGTGCTTTACCTGAGTTGGAGATCCTAGGGGCAACTGTTGTACCAGCGGGTATTCCAGCTGTGCCTAGGCCAGAAAGAAAAGAAAAAGATCAACAGGGGAAGTCTTTTGTGACCCTTGGATATTGTGGCCCACAGTATGTCTATTTATGACTTTGAAGCAAGAAAACTCACTTCCCGGACTTAAAACTGACAAGAGAACAAGCATGTTTCAGGTTTATTGTGTTTCCTTGCAAAGCCAATGCTAACACAGTAGGCAATATGCCTACCCTTATCATGATGATTATTACTGTGCCAAGGTTGAAGGTCCTGTGAAAGGCTTTCCCAAGTTTACCTGTCCTACTTCCTGGTGCTCCAGTGGTGGCTCCACATGAAAAGAGATTAGGAGAAGAAGGGGAGAAGGAAAGAAGAAGAAAGGAGAAGGAAAGAAGAAGAAAGAAGAAAGAAAACTGTAAATTTTTATCTACAAACAGGACACTAATGTTACGGAGACTATGCTCTTTTCATAGGGACAACTATTTCAAAGCCAGAGCTACTACTGCTACTCTCCTCTCCAGAGACTCTGAACCCTAAGGTTAGTCTCTCAGAGAAGGGAAAGACTTTAGGAACTTTGGGCTCAAGTGTTTACAAATCCAAATCCAAGAACAAACTCTGTTTCCTTGAAATATTATAGCCTCAAAGGAGATTTAAAACCATACTCCACATTAAAGGAATTCTCCGTATTATCTATGATAATTTTCTGTAATTTAATTTCCAAATTAAAAGCTCATTTTAAGAAATGTTTCCTCTAAGAATTACATCAAAATACAACATTAAATATAAATACTTCAAGGTCATTACCTGATTTTATTTCTGCTTCAGTGGTGCCACTTCCTCCAAGGGAAGTTGTGGTCTCTTAAAGATGAAATGAAAACCAAAATGAATTATTAACAAAGAGCGATGAGCTAAGCTGATATCATTACATAAGGAAACCCAAATTCAAAATGTCTTGACATATATTCTCTTAAGTCAGAAAAGGAGTCCTCCTGACTTTAAACATAATGAAAGCCAACCCATAGCCAATATCATACTGAATGGGCAAAAGCTGGAAGCATTCCCTTTGAAAACTGGCACAAGACAAGGATGCCCTCTCTCATCATTCATAGTCAACATAGTATTGAAGCTTCTGGCCAGGACAATCAGGCAGAAGAAAGAAATAAAGGACATTCAAATAGGAAGAGAAGAAGTCAAATTGTCTGTTTGCAGATGACATGATTGTATATTTTAAAAATACCATCATCTCAGCTCTAAAACTCCTTAATTTGATAAACAACTTCAGAAAATCTAAGATACCAAATCAATGTACAAAAATCACAAGCAATCCTATACACCAATAATATACAGGCAGAAAGCCAAATCATAAGTGGACTCTCATTCACAATTGCTACAAAGAAAATAAAATACCTAGGAATACAACTTATAAGGGACATGAAGTACCTCTTCAAGGATAACCAAAACCACTGCCCAAGGAAATAAAAGAGAACAAACCAAACAAACGGAAAAAATTCCATGCTCATGGATAGGAAAAATCAGTATCATGAAAATGGCCATAGTGTCCAAAATTTACAGATTAAATGGTATTCCCATCAAGCTACTATTGACTGTCTTCACAGAAGTAGAAAAAAACTACTTTAAATTTCATATGAAACCAAAAAGGAGCTCATATAGCCATGATAATCATAAGCAAAAATAACAAAGCTGGAGGCATCACACTACCTGACTTCAAACTGTACTACAAGGCTACAGTAACAAAAACAGCATGGTACTGGTACCAAATGAGATATATAGATCAATGGAACAGAACAGAAGCCTCACCGAAATAACACCACACATCTACAACCATCTGATCTTTGACAAACCTGACAAAAACAAGCAATGGAGAAAGAATTCCTTATTTAATAAATGGTGTTGGGAAAACTGGCTAGCCATATGCAAAAACTGTAAACTGGACCTCTTCCTTACACCTTATATAAATATTAACTAATGACGGATTAAAGACTTAAATGTAAAACCTAAAACCGTAAAAACTCTAGAAGAAAACCTAGGCAACACCATTCAGGACACAGGCATGGGAAAAGACTTCATGACTAAAACACCAAAAGCAATTGCAACAAAAGCCAAAATGGACAAATGGGATCTAGTTAAACTAAAGAGCCTCTGCTCAGCAAAAGAAATTATTATTGGAGTGAACAGGCAACCTACAGAATGGGAGAAAATTTTTGCAATCTGTCCATCTGCAAAGGGCTAATATCCAGAATCTACAAAGGTCTTAAACAAATATTCAAGAAACAAACAAACAACTCCATCAAAAAGTGGGCGAAGGATATGAACAGACATTTCTCCAAAGGAGACATTTATGCAGCCAAAAAACATATGACAAAAAGCTCATCATCACTGGTCAGTAGAGAAATGCAAATCAAAACTACAGGGAGATACCATCTCAAACAAGTTAGGATGGTGATCACTAAAAAGTCAGAAAACAGCAGATGCTGGAGAGGCTTGGAGAAATAGAAATGCTTTTAAGTTGTTGGTGGGAGTGTAAATTAGTTCAACCATTGTGGAAGTCAGTGTGGTGATTCCTCAAGGATCTAGAACCAGAAATACCATTTGACCCAGCAATCACATCACTGGGAATATATTCAAAAGATTATAAATCATTCTACTATAGAGACACATGCACCTGTATGTTTACTGAAGCACTGTTCACAATAGGAAAGACTTGGAACCAATCCAAATGACCATCAATGATAGACTGGATAAAGAAAGTGTGGCACATATATACCATGGAATACTATGCAGACATAAAAAAAGAAATGAGTTCATGTTCTTTGCATGGAAATGGATGAAACTGGAAATCATCAACCTCAGCAAACAGAGGAACAGAAAACCAAACACCGCATGTTCTCACTCATGAGTGGGAGTTGAACAATGAGAACACATGGACACAGAGAGAGGAGTATCACACACCAGGGCCTGTTGATGGTAGGGGCAAAGGGAAGGAAGAGCATTAGGATAAATACCTAATGCAGGCAGACTTAAAACCTAGATGATGGGTTGATAGGTGCAGCAACCTATGTAACAAATCTGAACGTTCAGCACGTGTATCCCAGAACTTAAATTTAAAAAAAATTAACAAAGTAAAAGTAACGAAAACATAAATATACAAGTCTAATTGTTATGGGGAGATACATTATTTGTAAATTTTTTTTAATTGGACCTTAGATATTTCTTAATTAGAATAAGATACGTAAACTTCTAATTTAAAAAGGGGATACAGTAAGGAGTTAAAAAATAATATGCTCATTACTATTATCATCATTATTTATTGCTTTAAGTATGAGACTTTTCATGTGTAAGAATTTTGCCAGTGGCCACCACATTGGAACCTGGAGTTAGAGAGCTGTAGGAATCAATATATTTATTCTTTACACATAATGAAAAGTCTTAATATGTCAAGCTCTTTTTAGAGGTTACTAGAACAAGAGTTAATCTATATGTTTTTCATGTACGGTTTCTATAGAATATTTAATGAGAAAAAACATTAATAGCTATTATGTCTTTATATACTGAGGAAAAGAAAGACATTTCTCTCTAATCACACAACTAATTCTCAATGCCTTAGCTCCATGGTGAGGTCTTCTTGAAGAAAAGGAAAGGAAGATAAAGGCATTTGAGTGTCTGACCTTTATGTATTATGTAAAATCTGGCATAGCTGGAAAAGTTTTTTTTTGCTTTTTGTTTTTCAAAAAAAAAAAAAATGCCCTTCACAGAAAGTACAAACGGTAGATGTGACTGATGGAATGTGGCAATGTGACCTACTGGGAAGGAGGTAGTGGACTGTCAGTTCTTACTTGTAGTTGTAACCCCAGTCATTCCACTTGCTCCAGGAGACGCTGTGGCTGCTGGGAGAAGAAAAACACAAATGGGAAAGATTCAGGGGGCATGGAATGGAATGGCGGCACTCCTGCATAGGAGAAATGTTGCAGGACAAGCCACTGACAGAACCCCTTAGTCACCAGAGTGAGGAAGAAAGAGACTTTTATTCAGCTAGCTGTGGGGCATCAGTTGACTAGTCCAGAAAGCAGAGATCCCCCAAAAGCAGTGTTTTTTTCCCCTTTTTAAAGACATACAATGCAAGGGGGAGCAGAGGTAAAACCGTGTTATTGCCCATTGGCTGGACATCTGACCTTACAGTCTTTGGCTTTCATTGATTTGCTAATTTACATGTGGCGTGCACGGGAAGGGAAGAGTTACAGAAGTTGAACCAAGGCAGTAAATCACTTAGTGACAGAGGCAACTCTAAGAGGTAGGGGGTCTGGCTGGTGTAGATGGGGAGTACCTGACTTAAGGAAGGTCCTTGGTCAGTAAGAAAAACATATGTAACACTTACAAGGCTTACAGATAACAGAGGCACCAGTTACAGAGAGGGGCATTACTTTCTCAGTCCTTGGGCCCCGCTGCGGTCAGGCTGGTGGAGTCACTGAGTTGCCCGATCGCTGACTTCAACTTTGTGCTATTTTATCTCCCGCCCCACTTTTCTAACAGAAGACAGGCAAGAGAGAGAGAGAGATGGTCTCCTCTCTCAGCATCAAAAGGAAAGGCATGTTGCTATAGCGAGCACCCATGAAAGCATTCCCCACCACACAGTGGACTCACCTGTGCTGAAACTTCCAAGGGCAACTGTTGTGGCAGGAGCTACCTCTGAGGTGCCTGAAAACAAAGAGACTAAGATGATCATAGTGAATGAGCAAGTCAAGTGACCCAAATCTAAAAGGGAAATGCTGCATTTATGTATTTATTTGCTGTAATAGATATCTCTTTCTCTAAGCCTGAGGCAGAGATAAGTATTTGTATATGCCTGCTTTCAACAATTCATAACAAAAGGAGATAGAGACAATGTTTCCAAGTATAAGCAGACTGAAAATATAACAAAAGTGAAACTAGATGCATTTTCCAAATGCTCACCGGCTTGCTTCCCTGGTGCTGAAGTGATGCCTGCTGTGAGACAGAAATAGGAAAAAATGGTTGAAACGTTTTGAAACTTCACATATAGAGAAAACACTGAGCCAGCATTTTTGTTCACAAATATACTTGTAAATGTATGTGTACTAGCTCCATGGGGCTTTTCTGCTTCACACACACACACACACACACACACACACACACACACACACACGGAAAACGTTCTTAATTCCACCTAAACTGCTAGCAATAGCTGTAACAGAAATGGAGGAATTCCATCTTATTCTCAGAAATGGAGCAGTATGCTCCAATTTAGAATTAGTAGATTAAAAAAAAAAACGTATCCCCACCAGCAAATCTATTTTGAATTACTTGCAATGTCCCTAAATAAAACAAACACAAACTCTCTCAAGAAAAGTTTGGAGACCAAACATTTACGATGCCAAATGATGGGGTTGTTTCTTCTCACCGATTTTGAATCCAGTTCCAGAAGTGCCAGTCCTTTCTGTGGAAGTGGTGGCCTCTGATGGGAGAAAGAGGAGAATGAAAATGGCTGGGAATTTAGAATACTGGAAGAAGATTATGGGGTATTTATCAGAGAAGCCATTTGAAAAATCATGGTATCTGACATTAAGTAAGAGGCATTTCTTCTTAAGCTACCTGTGTTAGAACTTCCAGATATAATGGTCATTCCAGACAATTCTCCAGTGGTACCTAACATGCAAAAAAAAAAAAGGAACAAAGCAATAGAGCATTTTATCTCCAATTAAAGCTTGAAAGCATCAATATAGCCCTAAACACTGGAAGCCCTCTCCTGCAGACACTCTATTTCTACTGAGAATGGAAAACGAACAACTTCCTAGCACTTCATTTTTCAGGCCAATGTGGGCTAAATGTGTTGCTGCTGGGATTCCCTTTCACTATGAGGCAAGAAAAAATAGGGCTTAAATCAACCTGACCTGTTTCCCTTCCAGGAATATGTTCACCATGTGACAGACGTGCCTACACAAAGAATAAATCATTGTTTTATATTTATAAGGAGGACAGTTTGATACAACTTGGGGCATTTTAATAATCAATTGTTTTCATGAAGCTTTCTAGTGAAGGGAGAGAGGAAATCAATGAAATATATAGGTAAATGAGAAAAATGATCAAAAGTATCAAGCTATGAGTGGAAAGGTAACCTGGGTAAGAGGAATAGGAAGTCCTGGAAGGTTAAAATATATGAAATATTTTTTAATATCTTTTACCAGAAAAAAATAATGTCTCCATAAGCTAGAATGGTGCACACAGCCTGGCTGACAATACAAGGTGATGAAATTCAAGAGCAAAATAACTGGCCAGGTTGACAGGACACAATATGATCAAGGAGAAAATGCAGGCCCTTCCTTCAAATGCCTTCACTATTTGTTCCCTGTAGCCACCTAATAGGGAGATGATGAGAGCCTCAGGCCTGAGCGTGACAAGCTCACCTCCAGGTGGTCCTGCTCGGGTGGTCCCATTGCCTCCTGCGAAAGTTGTGGCCTCTGAGAGAGAAAGGAATTGGAGGTATGAAGATTGCACTGGACATTCTGGGACCCCATAAGCTGTATTGCCCAAAGGGCCCCGTTCAGAATGCCTGACCTGTGTGGGCACTTTTAGCTTCCAGAGTTCTGCCAGAGATGCCCTGAGTAGTACCTGAAAAAAGAAAGGATTGTGGTCAGATGGTCAAATTGTTGCTCCTCATGATATGGGCATAGGCTCTTAAGGAAAAAAAAATATTTTGTTTAATACAACAGAAAATTTACTTCTCTGGAGTTCTATTTTTGAGAGTTGATCCATATATTTCCCATAGAATATATAACTCCCTTAGCAAGTTTGCAGAGAAAGGTCCTCTGCCACCCAGTTTTATTTTTAGAATTTAGGTACAGAAAGATAGATTTGGGCCAAAGTCACCTGTGTAACTGTCAGGGAATAGTCCCCATGATGCCCTAATGAAGGATTCTTAGATCCAATGCAAAAGACATTAGGGGGAAATGTTGAAGTGTCTGACCTATATTTATTGATATTAGATATTGAACATCTGCTACATTTTTGCCTAATATGCCAAATGTGGAAAATTCAAGAACTTTTGCCAGATTTCTATCAAGACATGGTAAATTATAACAAAGTATACTTAGTTTCCTAACAGAACTCACCTGTGATTATTTCAGCTTTTGTTATTCCATTTTTTCCTACAGAAGTTGTGACCTCTGCAAAACAGGGAAAAGAATAGCAGTGAGGGAAAAGATTAGAAGAATCTGAGAAAAGCATGGTAGGATCACCAAGGCAGACACCTCATTGAGGGGCCCTTTCCAATCAGTGCTTCCTCCCAGCCTGGTGCTTTAACCAAGCTGGAGCTCCCAAGGGCCACCATTGTATCAGAGGGCACTCCAGCTGTGCCTTCAGGAAAGGAAAAAAAAGATCGACATGGGGACTCTTTAGTGACCTTTAGAAAAATGTGGCCAACAGTAGGTCTATTTGTGACTTTGAGGCAAGAAAACACACTTCCTGAAGTTCTAACTGACATGAGGACAAACATGTGTTCAGGTTTATTGTGTTTCCTTGCAAAGCCAAGGTTAATGCAGTGGGCAATACGCCTGCCCTCATGATGATTATTATTGTGCCAGTGTTGAAGGTGCTATGACAGGCTTTCCCAAGTTTACCTGTCCTACTTCCTGGTGCTCCAGTGGTGGCTCCACATGAAAAGAGATTAGGAGAAGAAAGGGAGAAGGAAAGATGAAGAAAGAAGATATTAAATTTTTATCTATGAACAAGACACTAATGCTATGCAGACTATGTTCTTTTCAAAGGGAAAACCATTCCAAAGCCAGAGCCACTATTGCTACCCTCCTCTCCAGAGATTTATAACCCTGCGGTTAGTCTCTCAAAGGAAGAGACTTTAAGAACTTTGGACTCAGCAGTTTACAAATCCAAATCCAAAGAGAAACTCTGTTTCCTTGAAATATTATAGCCTCAAAGGAAACTTAAAACCATGCTCCAAATTAAAGGGATTCTCTAAAATATCTATGATAATTTTCTGTAATTTAAATTTATTTTCAAACTAAAAGCTCATTTAAAAAATTTCTTCTAAGAAATCTATCAAAACACAACAATATATATAAATACCCTCAAGGTCTTTACCTGATTTTATTTCTGCTCCAGTGGTGCCACTTCCTCCTAGGGAAGTTGTGGTCTCTTAAAGATGAAAAGAAAACCAAAATTAATTGAGTATTAAGAAAGAGGGATGAGCTAAGGATGTAATCATGTCATTATATGAAATAATCCCAATTCAAAATGTCTTGACACTTTCCATTAAGTCAGAAAATAAGTACTTCTGACTTTAAAAGTAATAAAAAACATAAATATACAAGATTAATGTTAAAACTGGGAGATATATCATTTGTGTATTTATCTTCTTAATTGGACCTTGGCATTTCTTTTTTTTTTTTTTTTTTTTTTTTTTTTTTTTTTTTTTTTTTTTTTTTTTTTTTTTTTTTTTTTTTTTTTTTT